TAAAAATCGCAAATTTGATTGGCCCGGGCTTTTTAATAGAGTATTGTAAAACGTATAAAAAAAAAATCGGGTGACTCGGATAATTATTTCCTAATTTGGGACGGTCTCCCTGGAACTGTACGTATTGATTATTTTAAAAAGCGTAGATCATTAATAATTTGGGGGTGCATCTCCAAAAATAGTTATTGTTTATATTTTTTTAGTGATAGACAGAATAAACTATTTATGTTCGATCAGTAATTCGATCAATCGTAAATTTTCTCGGTATTTTCTCACCTCTTAGCATGCAACCTAACCTTGGACACCAAAGACGACCGATATTACAAAAACAAATGTTACAAGATGCGAATCTATCTCATACATTCTCTGGTACTTCTTACACCTTAGAAGAGTATGAGGAGATTAGAGAAAAATTAAGTAAACAACTAGGTCCCGAATATATTAGTACAAGACAAGGGCCAGCTGGTGGTTAGTACTTTTTAGGACGCATCCTTTTGAGCGAATTGAACATTAATATAGAAAGTTTGTTGTGCATTATGTTGCGTTCAACCTTAATTAGAATGAAATGAGACATTATAACATTTTTGACACATTTCTTTTATAATTAATAAATAGCTGGGAGATTGGTATATATCGAGGGATGGAAATTGATCAATTTAGCAAATGATATCTTTGGTTTTAATGGATGGACATCCAGCATTCAGGATATCACTATCGACTTTGTAAGTAATCCTATCATGTTAATAATTTGTAATAAGTTCCGACGACATCGACTCATATTTCAATATGATAGGTTGAAACCTCACAAGATACTGGAAAAGTCTCGGTTGGTATATCAGTAACGTGCAGAGTAACTCTCAAGGACGGTACATATCATGAGGTAAACATTGAATAAAAGGCTGCGGTACAATGGTAAATAACGTGACAAACTAATGAACCAATCATCTAGGATTTGGGTTACGGCATCTGTGAAAACTCAAAGAGTAAGGGCGCCGCATTCGAGAAGGTATTCTAGATAAAAAAAAAAAAAATGTATAGCTCATCAATGTTGCGTTGTTAGTCATGGTAATATTTTGTTTTTGTCTATAAAGGCCAAGAAAGAAGCCATGACAGATGCGCTCAAGCGTGCCCTACGAACATTTGGCAACGCAATGGGTAATTGTGTGTACAACAAAAAATAT